GGGCGCCGCCTGTCTTCCGGGAGCCGTGGGGTCTTCACAGAGACGCACACACGCCAGAGTTTCAGCGGCTTTATTTTGACGGACACAACCTCAGACACAAGCGGGGGGCAGCGCGGGGTGGACAGACGGGAGCAGCTCGGCCCAGGGTCTAAGCACCCCTCCCCCGCACATCGTCCCGAAAACACGCACTGCGCCCAACGCGGCCCCAGCCACGAGGATCGCGGCGCAGGCTTCGGGCGGCGTGGACAGGAAAGTGGAGCAGGAAGCGGGTCCCAGAGGCAAAGCCTCCCAGTCCGGGAGAAGCAAAGGGTCCCCCCAGGTTCTCCACATCTCCTCCTCATTAAACCATTTGTAAATGGGCACGAAGAAAACCAAGTTGAAGGGCATTGAAGCGCAAAGCAATCTGCATCTAGGGGGCGTGCATGTGGCCGGGTGTGAGCGAGTGAGCAGCGGCTATTGAACTAGCCTAGGCCTTTGGCCCCTTAGGAGTCCCCACACCCCCTGCACAGGCCCCAATGTGAGGGAGGGTGGGGGTCCCTGGCTAATTGCTATACTGGTCCCCTTCCTCTGTAAGCACCACCCAATCCCACCCCCCAGGGGCTAGTGTCACTTGGCCTAAGGAAGCGCTATGGACAAGGGTCACTCGAGTGCTCCAACCGCGATCCCATGTTGCACTTTGGTCCCAAGTTGGGGCTGGGAAGGCAGGGCCCGGCGGGCACAGGGCGCTGGCAGAGCAGGGGAAAGGGGTGAGCGCACACACATGCCCACCACCTGCCGGCTAACAAGGCTGGGTCTCCAAGTGTCAAAAGTGCTGAAAAGAGGGGACCCCCCTGGGGGAGAAGCAGCCAATCCCAGGCCCCTGTTCTTTTAGTGCCAGGAAGACACTATAAGAGGGTACATCTGCTCCCCAAGTACAGAACTCGGGAGGCACAGCACACTCCAGGGGCCCGTCTCAGCCTCTGCCTTGCCAGGAGAGGGCGGGCTACACTATGCAGAGCTACTGCCCTATGGCTGAAGCCACAGAAGGTACAGAAGCAAAGACGGCCGGCCGTTACGGACCAGAAACGAGCAAGCTGTCCCTCCCAGGCCCAAGGAATGGGAACCTGCCCACCACTGGCACCAGGGTCAGAGGCTGAGAGATGGGACCCATCAAGGAGCCCATTGAAGATGCGTGAGGCTGCATCTGAGGGCCAGGAAACCATCAGTGACCAGGGCCTCACAGACACGGGCTAGCGAGCTTACCTGTAATGCCCAAACAGGACATGCCCAAGGTGACAATGGCCGTGGCCCCAGGCTCTGCAGTGAGGGCACTGGCCCTGGCAATGGTTAGGTGACAGCAGTGTCGCCTCTGGCCAGTGTTGGACGTGGCAGGCCTCTGCCATGAAGGGCCGGCAGCAAGAAAGAACTACCACCGCGGGGAGGACGGGATCCCTCCGGGGCCTGCCCCGCACCACTGTCAGTACTGAGTGTTGAAGGGACCACACTCAGGCCACAGAGAGGGTGCTGGGCCAGCAGGGACACGCCTCCCACAATGCATTCTGCTCATTCTTTGTAAAGAGGCCGCACCCGCTGAAGGGCGCAGGGGCAAAGCTCACCTCGGAAACGGGAGCGAGACCCTTTGCTGAGGAAAGCAGGGCGGGAATCAGTCTTCACTAATGAACAAGGCGACACCCAGGGAAGGAACCCGAGAGACTGGAGCTGGCAGATGGACAAATGGACAGACGGACAGGCTCCAGGACTGAGAAGACAAAACTCTCCCAGCAGAGTCTGAGCCCCGCATCAGGTGCAGACCGTGTCCCTGTGCAGGCCAGCTCGCAGCTCTCCCCCCTCACCTGGGCTGCGGCCTTGAGCTTGGCTGGGGAAGTGAGCCCTGAGCGGACCACAGCCTGAGCCTGCGGGGAGCAGCCCACCCAGAGTAGCACAGCTGCCCGCAGGGCAGGAAGAGGACGCCCGCCCACAGCACGAGGCCTGCGGACGCTGTCTCACTGGAGGCCCCGAGGCCTGGTGGGACAGACTCTTCGGCAAGCGGAGCAGGGCCCCCCTTCGGTGGGACAAGGGGTGGGGGACTCCTTAGGCAGGGATCTTGGTGGGAAAGGCTGGCTGGGGTGTGCAGACAGGAAGAGGAGCAGGTACAAGTGCCGGAGTGCCTGGGAATCCAGGGCCTGCCCTCTGCCCTAAGCTGGCTTCAGCCCAGGTTCTGAATCTAGCCTCCTGCCAAGAACAGATGAGAAGGATGGGCCCAGCTGTGCACAGTTGGCCTTGTAGTGCCCTGGGAGCGTCAGTCAAAGAGCGGCCGACACCCACACCACTAGGATACATGCCCCTAGAAATGGGCACCCAATCCCTCTCCTTCCGAGGAACAAGGGGTGAATGGGCATGGAGGGGCCCGGCATAAGCCCAGGGCTTCACCCCACAATTAGCAGGGCCCTGCAGCCACGGGCCCCAAAAACCTAGGCAAGAGAAACCAATGTCCAAGGGCACCCTGTCCCTGCTGCAAGCCCCCCAGGGGCACCTCCACTACATCAGCCTGGACACAGCAGTCGGAGCTGCAGAGCTGAGGAGCCTGGCTGAGGGGGTGTGTTCTGCTCTCCTCTTTATATATATGGATGCCAGGCTACAGCTAAAACATTTCTTTTAGTTTATACCCAAGAGAAATATAACCCTTTAAAAGCAAGTCTGTGTGTCCTCACGACGAGTTCAGATCAATGGTCCCTGCCTGCGGGTGGAGAGGGAGGGGTTCTGGGCCCCGAGCTGGGCCTACTGGTTCTCGTCCCGCATCTGCTCCATGATGCTGATGAGGTTCTCCAGGCCGAACACATAGCCTCGGTCCGGCCCGTCGTGCACGGTGGGGTCATCCCGGAAGCCCTTGAACGTGCTGTGTGCAAAGTCGATCATGCGGACGTCCACCTTGGGAGAGGACACGCTCTCGAGGCTGGTGCTGCTGGAGCTGCCCGGGCTGGTGCTAGGGCCGCAGGGTGGCGCCACCTCGGGCAGCCCCGTGTCCAGGTGCTTGAGACGCATCTCGGAGCGGCGGTCCAGGCAGGACTCGGGCCAGCACTCCTTGCCGTCGTAGATGACGAGCAGGGAGCTGGAGTAGAAGCGGTAGGAGGCCTGCCGCTCCAGCACCGCTTTCAGGCCCCGCAGTTTGCTCAGGATGGGCTCAAAAAGGTCACGCCGCAGGTCCAAGCCGTTGTGCAGGTACTGGTAGAGGGCATTGCGGAAGCCTTCGATGGAGAGCCCCCGGCCATAGTACTTGTTCCTGCAGAGGTAATGCCCCGTGTCCAGCTGGTACACCTGAAACCCCAGGAGACAGACAGGTGAGTGCCACCGCAGTACTGAGTGCTGAGGGGCCGCGCTCCAGGCCGCAGAGCCCTGGCCAGCACTGTCTGGAAAGCACTTCTGACCACGCTGAGCCTTCCTGCTGACCCCACACAACGGAGCGGCGGGCCAGGGCGCCCGAGGTTCCCGCAGGACGGCCAGGAGAGAAGGCCAGCCTGCAAGTCCTCTGCCATCACTTTGAAGTCCTTTTCCAAGCTGCCCTGCGACCCAGCTGGACTCAAACTAGGAACATCTGACTGACAGACAAGAGTCTTACTTGCCCCAATGTCAAGGCAACAGGCTCTCCCAGCAGCTCTGTAGCTGGAGCCCAGACCAGAGTCACCAGACAAGGACAGAGGCTCAAGGGACATACACACGAGGAGGCGCTCAGCACCCCGGGACTCACCCTCTTGGAGGTGGTTCTGGACCAACGTGGACAAGGAGAACACTTGGCCTGGGGAGCGGCGGACATGGGCTCCCTAACAGGCTGGCGGCAGCACCTGGCTCTCACCTGCATGCCACAGACCCTGACGCCGAGCGTGGCCGACGTGCTCTGCTCGCACTTGCGCATCTGCCGGGCAGCCTTCTCGGCGGACGCGTCGTCGCCGTGCTGCCGGGTGCCCATCTTCAGGTCCAGCACGCACGGGCACTTGAAGTGGTGCACCACGTTCTCCAGCAGGAGGAACTCTGCGCCCAGGTCAAGGGGACAACAGCAGTTTCTGCAAAGGGGGCCTCTCAGCCCGTCACCTGTCGTCACCTCACAGACCCAAACGTGAGCTTCACAACACTGGCTTCTCCATTCTACAAAACTGCTTATGCCCTGGCCAGTGTGGCTCAATGGTAGAGCGCTGGCCCGCACACCAAAGGCTCTCAGGTTTGATTCCTGGTCAAGGGCACGTACCTGGGTTGCAGGTTCGATCCCTGGCCATAGCAGGGGTGCGTGTGTGAGGCAACCAATTGATGTCTCTCTCTCACATCAATGTCTCCCCCCCCCACCCCCCCGCTTCCACTCTCTCAAAATCAACAGGAGAAATATCCTTGGGTGAGGATTAACCAAAAAGATAAAATAAAATTTTATTGCCCTAACCAGTTTGGCTCAGTGGATAGAGCGTCGGCCTGCGGACTCAGGGGTCCCAGGTTCGATTCTGGTCAAGGGCATGTACCTTGGTTGCAGGCACATACCCAGTGGGGAGTGTGCAGGAGGCAGCTGATCGATGTTTCTCTCTCATCGATGTTTCTAACTCTCTATCCTTCTCCCTTCCTCTCTGTAAAGAATCAATAAAATATATTTTAAAAAAAAATTTTATTGTGGTAAAATGCACATAACATACAATTTGCTACTTTAAATATTTTAGGTGTGAACTCAGTGGCATTCAATATATTCACATTATCATGCCGCCATCACCACCCGCTGCTTCTAGAACAGTGGTTCTCAACCTGTGGGTTGCGACCCCTTTGGGGGTCGAACGACCCTTTCACAGGGGTCGCCTAAGACCATCGGAAAACACATATATAATTACATATTGTTTTTGTGATTTATCACTATGCTTTAATTATGTTCAATTTGTAGCAATGAAAATACATCCTGCATATCAGATATTTACATTACGATTCATAACAGTAGCAAAATTACAGTTATGAAGTAGCAACGAAAATAATTTTATGGTTGGGGGTCACCACAACATGAGGGACTGTATGAAAGGGTCGCGGCATTAGGAAGGGTGAGAACCACGGTTCTAGAACTTCCCAGACCGCAACCAGAAGCGGTGCCACTGACACTACCTCCCTGCCAACCCTGCCTCAGCCCTGGTCCCGCTCTTCCTCCTGGCTCTCCGGGTCTGCCTATCCCAGGCCCTTCATGTAGTGGAGTCACAGAACCCGTCCTGTGCCTGGCTCTCTCACTTAGCAAAAGGTCTTCTAGGTCCCTCCATACTGTAGCGTAACAGAATGCCATTCCTTTTACGGCTGAGTGATATTCCACTGTGTATAGACCACCTCTGCTGAAGTCATCACTTTTCATTCTTTACATGTGTCTTGCAGGCACATACAAACTAAAGGAGATTCCGGCA